GATAGGGAGCGGCTGATGCAGGACTTAATTAATACAGAATTAAAGGAGGGTAATGTAATTAATGGAAATCAACATAGGTTTATGGAAAACAGGTGCTGTCAAATTAGATTTTTTTTATGAGATTACATATTTGGTTGATAAAAGTAAGAGATCTGATGTAATATACTTAGACTTTTGTAAAACGTTTGAGTTGGTACCATACAACGTTTTGATTAAAAACTCAAATTATATAAAATTAGCATAAAATGGATACACATAAAATGGAAAAAAAAAATGGCAGTTAGGACTCACAATGTAATTGTAAATGGGGACTTGTAAGTGTCTCATGGGGTCCTGCAGGGATTGGTCTTGGCCCTATGCTATTTAACATTTTTATCAATGACCTGGAAGAAAACATGAAATATTCACATGGAAAGTTTGCAAATGACACAAAAATTGGGGGAGTGGTATTGTCACTCACTGAGGTGCATCTGGTGCGACCTATTGGTCTGATAAGGAGTCTGGCCTATTGATTGTTGCAGAATCAGAGAGCAGAAATGGAGGTGTGGTTAGGAGGCAAGATGCGGTTTGGAGCCAGGAGTCAGAACAGAACTAAAGGGCAGAGCCAGAATTGTGATCAGACGACAAGCCAGTGGTCAGAACCAGGAGTTAGGAATCAGGAGTTCAGAGGCAGGCAGAGACTAGGACTGGAGTGGAGCAGGCAAGGGGAAGAGCAAACACTGGACAGGAAGCAGATCTGGCCCATCTGCGGTCATTGAGCAGCCACTGTTCTGCTCCTGCTCAAGGGCTAAAATGGTGATCTGATGGCTTTTCTAACCAATCAGGGAGCAAAGTCACTTAGTGCCCAGCAAGACAACCAAGCCCAGAGGCAGCTGAGTTCCTGACAGTATCCCATCACCTTGAGGGGTTCTCTTTTTCTAGATGATATATATTATGAATTGACTATGGTGAATGGAAAGCAGCTTGTGACATGAAATAGAAAAAAAACCTCCTAGAGTATCCTCTTCAGCATTATGAGAAATATGAAATATCTTCCTTCAAGGAATGAACTTGACTTTGCAACATTAATAATGTTCTTTCAGTATAGTTTGTGTGTGTGTAATATATATATTACTAATTAAGCTTAAGCACTTCCTGTGCAGTGCTTGACTCCATGATGGCTCCCTGTGTGGGGGCATGTTAGGACCACAAGGACTGCTGCAATCACTGAGCTGTGACAGCTGTGAGTTCATGGCTTATAGGAGCGGAATCCTTTCTGCTGGCTCCCAGGGCACAACCCAACACGCAGGGTGTGTGCTGAAAGGGAGGATTTGGGCCTGAGGGCTCTTTTCGAAGCCCTTTGAAGTCAGTGAGAGTCATTCCATTGATTTCAAAGGGTTTGGGATTAGGCTCTTAGAGAATAAACTAGTTTTCACTTAAAATGTAAAGAGTTAAAAAAGCAACTCATTCAAATGTAATCTGTGTGCTTTCTGTACTTAGAAATGAAAACCTAAAGCTGAGTGAGAAATGAAAACTCAGCTTCCATTTTTGCATTTTACCATATTTCTATTTGGTATTCAGTCATAGCTTGGCTAAAATAATACAGTGCAATAATTGCAGTTCATTGTGTAATTAATATGGACGACACCAGTGTTTCAAAGATGCAGATCAAAAGACATATTTAACACGGTAAATGTGTTCTAATAAAATTCCAAATGCACAGTTCCATTATATTAAAGATTTACTACTAATACACATCCAACTTTCTATGAGAAATAAAAATGGAATTAACAATGAAAAAGTGCTGTGTTTAAGTAATATTAAAATTCCTCTCCTATAAGCCAGAATTTTACAAGTCCATAGTTACTCTCCATCCTTAACTGAGAGTTGGTTGCCCTAACGCTGTACATTAATAAATAGGCTGGACTGATCAATTTAACTTTGAACCTCCTGATTTTTTAGGTTTGGGTCATAATCTTATTTCACTTTTTTATTTGTTTGCATGTCTTTTTATTACTGGATATTTTCTGAGCAGCTTCTCTGTGTAGTTTCTTTGATCTCTGTTTCTTTTGCCTTCTGCATTAATTTATTACAAAAAAACCTCCTACCCTTTACTTCCAGGAGGATGGATACATGTAACAGATTTTCTCCATCGCTGACCACTACAATTCAAGATCTTGCTCTAATCCTGTAATTCTATTTCCTGTTAAGGCTGATGGGGGTTACATACCTGGATCAGAGAAGAGATCTTTCACCATCAGAAGAAGTAGCTCATTTCTTCTGAGCTTGCTTAGTTAGCTCTACCATAACATTCTGTTTCTCCCTCAAATAGTTTCACTTACCCACAAATCCCTGTTAGGTTGCCACCTACACCTCTGGCTTTAGGGACTTGCAGTAACATTGGTTGCAGGATGACCAAGTATCAGGGACTGCAGGTCTTGAATGCTGGTCCATGGCACTCTTAGGAGCTAGAGAATCCCAACCTGCCACCCAGTGACCTGCTAAAAGATGCTATAATACCAGCTGAACTCTGACAGAAGACTCCAGTCCTGGGATCTGATTGGTGGAACCCTGGGAATCCTGATTGGTCCCCAGCCTTTATTTAATCCAAGCACAGGAAAAGGAAGTTGTCTATGCAACTGGGTTCCCCCAGCTCAGGAGTGCTCCCACTGCAATACCTGCTCCTACTGATCTTGTGGTAACCTGACTCTGAGTTTGCCCCCTCCCGTGTATTGGACTCTGATGCTAAAGTGTGGCCAAAGCTGCAATAAATCTCCACCCCCCCCCCCAGTCTGGATTTGAGGTGACTGGTGGTATATTGATCTCAAGGGCTGAAAGAGTTATAGGTGTTTATAAACTCTTTCACTGTCCAACATTAAAACAATGATACTTAAGTTCAGGATTTTATTCTACAGAGGCATGGTTTACTCAGTTTCTTGGCAAACACCCAAAAGCATTCATTCTAAAGTAGAAAGTTTATTGATCAAACACAAGCGAGAACAAGAAATTAAAACAAGTATTTGTACTGCAACTGGAATTGCAAACTTAATTAGAACTTATTAAAGTCAGGTTTTTTTTGGAGGCAAACCATCAGTCTTTTTTGTTTAAGCAACCTTTTTAGTGAAAAGGAAGGTTAATTTTACACTGGGTCCTGATGTATCAAGGGTATTTACTTCTGTTTTTAACATGCAGGCAGACAGACACAAGGTGGAGGAGAAACAGGATATAAAAGATGGGGGAAATAAGACTTTTAGGAACACTTTTTGGAATGGCTGGGTCCATTACAAATGGATGCTTTGTCAACCATGACACCTGTTGCTTGGACCCTATTTCACATTCTGGTAAGGGACATCATGTGGTTGGGTCTTTTCTCCTTAGACAGGGCAGGATTGTGGTCATCTCAGTGCTATGCTGATGCAGTGCAATTGATTTCAAGAATTTGATCAAATGCTGAGAGAGTGAGAGAGAGGATAGGAGGAAGGCATAGGGGAAGCATAAAAGTAATACAAAAGGAAGGCAGACAGAACAGGATCTTATATGTCTCTGTGGTGCTGGCAATTGGGTATCCCCACTGACAGGCTGAGAAGAGGATGTCATCATGATGATTTTTTAAGAAAAACAAAGTTCCTTAAACAAAAGCAAGGTCTAATGGCTTTCCTCTCAGGAAGAAAGTCTTTCAGTCTCGTCTGCTCCTTCTGTGTTGGCGTCAGGAAAGATGAGCTGTGTCTCTTTTTAAATCTCTTTTTAAGAACCCCAAAAAGGGGAAAAGAGGGCAACTCAGTTCATCCCCTCATTATTTTGTCCACCAGTTAGGCCTAATATTTGCCACACCAATTTTAGTTCATTAATTTGTGGCTCCATCTCTTCTGTTTTTACCAACAGTGATTTCAACAGTCATTGAACCATATGAGCAGCCCCTTTTTGTTTGGACTAATTCAGTTTTTGTCTGGTTTTCATGAACAGTATCATTTACTATTGAAAATAACTTGACCTATTTTCCATTAACATTTGTTGGTACAGTTTAGTGTAACAGCTTATTAATTTTCACACACTTTTTACAATTGGACTTAAGGTAAACTTTTAGGTCCAAAAATCACAACAGTGGTAACCAAACAATGGGTCACGTGATGGCAGTTTTGAGGCTGACCAAAAGGGTTACCTGCCAGAGGGGGCTGGAAGTTGTAAAAGGACAAAGCCTGCTCTTAGTGGCTGGGTCTCCAGACAGAACAAGGCAAGACTATGTTGGAGGAAGGAAAGAGAAATAGGGTCCTGGGACCCCTGAAGGCACTCACTAAAACCCAAAGGCTACTCAAAAGTGGTGAGGACTCAGAGGGTATGTCTACATTGCAATTGAAAAACCCACTGCACGAAATCTCAGAGCCCAGGTCAGCTGGCTCAGGCTGCAGAGCTTAAAACAGCAGTGTAGCCCTTTGGGCTCTGGCTGGAGCCTAGGCTTGGAGACCCTCACCCTGCATGCGGTTTCAGAGCCCAGGCGGCAGCCTGACCTGAACATTTACAACTTTAATATTATAGCCCAATAGCCCGAGCCCTGCAAACCTAAATCATTTGACCTGGGCCAGCTATGGCTGTTCCATAGGTCTTTTACTGCAGCGTAGACATAGCCAGAAAAGGAATTGTGTACAGATATTTATTATTTTGCCCAGAGCTGTGTGTCTCTAGTGATTTGTCTATGAGGTAAAGTGTTTGGTTTAGAAATCCCTCTGCAAAGTCTGTGTTACTTGCTTCAACCAGCACTTGTCCTGAAGGGACAAACTGTAAACTGGAGCAGCCATAAGGGTGGAGATCTGGGGAAGGTGGATTTACGCTACTGGGGAGACTTGGGGGCATTGGTCCTCATGAGCATCCACAAAGGGGAGCTCCGTCAGGACTCTGACACTGAGATCTCCTTGCTACCTAAGCACTTTGAGTACATAAATGGGAACTGGGTGTCCACATTCCCTAGGTGGCTCTGAAAATCCAAGCCTAAATCTAATTCTGACTTAATTCATCTTGCTTGACAGCTCCTGTGTCAGCACCAAATATCTGTACAGCAGTACAAGCTGAAAGCCTCTGAATCTTCTCTTGTCCAGGCGCCAGATAAGGTGTGTATTTGATCAGCTGTGTCATAACTGAATCTAATATTCTCTGACTCCGAGTGACTCAGGTTTTATCATTGAACCCACCACTGTCTGTCAGTTGTTCACAGTGGACAAAATGCTGAAGATAGAATGTCAGAGTGGTGCAAGTTTAGACACAGGGCTCAGTCCTCTGATGCACCCAGTCATTGCTGGGTGCAGCACAAGTAGAGGAGCAGTATTTGTTCTCATCCCTCATGACCCCTCTTCTTTCTCAGCATGGTCCCTCAGTCCCCTCCTCCTCCACAGGTCCCTTGTGGCTTGGCTCACTGTGTAGATTAGAGCAGACTTTAGGCTACTCTGCACTCTGCTCCAGCTGCCCTAGCCCTCACAGGGCCATCCACCAGTGGGGAATTGTTCAGTGCAGTGCACAACAGTTCTGTCCCTATCAATGGGATGGCTGCCTCCAGAGCACCTCTCTGTGGCCTGAGGTAGCTCTGCAGGTGTCCTTCCTCAGTTTCCCTATTCTGCTCAGGGCTCCTTAAATCAAACTATCAATCAGCTCTTCTTTGGTTCAGCAACACCCCTCACCCCCTTGGACTGGATTTATTAAAACAACAAAATCAATCCCAAAACAAAGTTCTGAACATCCCCATCAAGTCCATACTCCCAGTCATTCCTGGTGGGGGGATTCTCAGGCCTTCTCTACCTGAGGCTTTTCCCCTGACTGGAGCCTACTTACTCACAGCAGTCAATTCCCATGCAACCCCTTAGGGTCTCCTGCCGGTGCCTACTCACTCCCAGCACCCATTTCCTGTTTGGCAGGCCTCTACTGAAGTCTCACTCTAGCTCCACTTTCTTTCTCTGAGTACTGCATTCCTTGCCTGCAGCTTCCTGCTGCTTTTATAGGAGAATCAGGTCCTCCATACCCAGCTGGTTCTACTAATTAAACCCTCACATCCCATTCCAGATGTGGCAGGCAGGGTTAATTGTTCAAGTCTGGCCAGCTCCAGGCCTCTGCCCCTTCAAGGGACAGGCCACTCCATTACAGTTCCCCCGGTACATACAGGTTTAGAAGAGGGCTTGCATAGGTTTGGCTATGGCTCCTACACCAGAGGAATCCACGGCTGGCTGTTTAAGCCAACTATTGTCCCCTTTGTACCATAAGAGTGGCCTAAGGGGCTCTATTGAGCCCAGAGTGTACACCAGGGGTTCTCAAACTTCATTGCACCGCAACCCCCTTCTGACAACAAAAATTACTACATGACCCCAGGAGCGGAGACCGAATCCTGAGTCTGCCCAAGCCCTGTTGCCCTGGGTAGGGCAAAGCCCGAGCCCCACCACCCTGAGCAGGGGGCCAAAGCCCAAGAGCTTCAGCCCCAGGTGGGGGGCCTGTAACCAGAGCCCCACCACCCGGGGCTGAAGCATTTGGGCTTTGGCTTGGGCCCCAGGCGGTGGGGTTTGGGCTTGGGCTTCAGCCCTGGGCCCCAGCAATTCTAATGACAGCCCTGATGACTCCATTAAAATGGGGTTGTGACTCACTTTGGGGGCCCAGCCCACAGTATGAGAACCACTGGTGTATACCATAGGTGCCCTGGAACCTGTGAACTGGAAGTAGGATCCTGCAGTGCAAGTATAAAAAATTGTATCATGTTGAACTGTAGCTCAAACTAAGCATAAATTGCAGATGACCCAATGTAGCAATATATTGTACACTGGGTGGAAAACTTTAATGGGAAACATTTAAAATTTTAATATGCCCCAATATGTTTGCTATTATTTAGGAAAACAATAGATAATAACCAAATGAGGGTGAGATCGCTTATTTTACATGGTACAGGTTAATTCAACCTTGAAATAAGATGCAATTTTCTGCCAGAGGGTAATTAAACATTGAAACAGCTTAGCAGGGGAGGTGGTGGACTTGCTATCACTCCGAGCCTTTAAAATGAGATTAGATCATTTTCTAAAAGACATGCTTTAATACAGGTTCTGGGAGAAATTCTATCACCTGTGTGAGCAGTGGGTTGGGTTGAATGGTTTGTGGTGGCCTGGCTGTTCTGGCCTTAGAATCTGCTAATCTATCAATCCCCTTGTTCATTCCCTTCCTTGCAGTTGTGTTAAAACCATGTTTGGAATTAAATCTCATGCTTTAGGGCTTTAGCTGGGCAGCTGAAGGGGTCAGGAAGGGTTTACCCCTTCCCCCAGTATGCAGTTGACCAGATGTATTTGCCGGAGAGGAGTTGCCTTCCCTTCAAGCATTGGGGATTGGCCACAGCTGGAGATGGGACATTGGGCAAGGTGGACCAGTGCTCTGAGGTAGTAGTGAGAATCCTCTTTATTAGGTGCTTGGCTGGTGTGCCTTGCTCACATATTCAGGGTGAAACAGGTTACCAGATTTGGCATTGAGAGGAAAGTTCCCCTCAGGTCAGATTGGCCAGGACCTTGGGATTTTTTCACCTTCCTCTGAAGCATGGAGTACAGATTGCCTCCTAAAACCATCGAGGCTTATTTCACCTAATCAATGTCCTGCCATTGCAGGGACCTTAGGCATAGGTCCTGTTCTCATTGAGCTAAATATAGAGGTATATGGGTGAAATTTCATTGCTTGCGACAAGAGGTTTGACTTGAGGATCTAACCTAAAGTCCCATCTGGCCTTAAACTCTATGAAACAATGTTCAGTTAATAATTTATCAATCTGTAGGAGATGAAAACTGAAGAGGAGGAGGGAGCAAAGAGAATAGAAGACAGTGAAACACTGAAAGGAAGTGAGAGGGTGTGGTTATAGCAAGTGAGGAACTTCTAGCCTGGGCAACAAGGATCTACACTACAATATGATCACCTGTGCAAACTCCTAGTGAAAAATAATAGAATTTAGGGCCAGAAGAGACTGTTGTGTTCACTTAGTTGCTTGACACAAGCCATAGCATCTCATCCAGTGATTCCTGCATCAAACCCATACTTCTGGTTGAGCTAAAGCATCTCTTTTGAAAGATGTCCAGACTTCATTTATAGATGTGCTATGCTGTACTCCTGAAAGACAGGGCCTTCCCTGTGTCTTCCTAGGGGAAGTTATTGGGTAGGTCACGTGCAGTGGCATTTACATAATTGTGAATTCCCTAGTCAAGACAAGGCTCTATAGAAGGTGTTATTTTCATTTGAGGCTAACTCTGACATTGTAATGGAGCAGATACACATCCTTCCCAATAATTTTGGCCTGAATTATCCCTTCCCATGGCAATACCTGTGGGAGGGGTATCAAAGCTGTGAAGTCTGCGTGAGGATCCCGTCTGAGTCACTCTTCAGTCACTCCAGTTTCTGCTCACCCTAGAATTAGGTGAGTGTAGGCACACCCAAGCCCTATGGATCTTTAGGGATCAGCATGAATCCTAGGGAATCTGCAAGAGGGCAGACATAGAGGTCCTGGGCCTCTCCACCAGCTCTAGCCCCTGTGCCTCCCCAACTTCTTACCTGTAGCTGCCCCATACCACCCAGATGGGGGACCTCAGGAGAAAAGGTCCAGCCTATCCCATCTTTCCAGGAGTCTCTATGGGGCTAGAGGAGTTCAGTGTTCTCCTTGGCCTGCCTGCTTCCTCTCCTCCAGCTCAAACACAGTACCTAAAGAGAGACCTCTGTAGGGCCCAGAGTAGTGGAGATAGGCCAGTACATTGGAGCACTTGACCACTGTCCTCCTTTCACAAGGGTTGAGACATGCAGCTAACTAGTGGTTTCAGGGACATTTAAATACACAGATGCAATTGAAAACTTTTTAAAAAACTCTGCTGTCCAACCACTCTGTTTTAACAAAATAAGTTGGTCAGTATCTCTCTAAGCATAGCAGCCATTTACAGACATATGTTACAATAAGTGGGAAAGAAACACCTCCTTTTGTAACAAACATTTAGAGCCAGACTGATGTGACTTTGCTGTAAATCTGGGGATAATTCCATTGATCTCAACAGATTTACACTAGTGACTAGTGTAACTGAGACCAGTTGTCCTCCTAGTCTAGATTCTGCTCCCCTTTACAACTGGGAACTCCAGAGCATCAATCAAAGGCACCTAATAACTGCAAATAAGAGCTGACTTATTTTTAACTGTGTGAAAGCCAGAGATTTTTATCTTTGTTCCAGAAGCTCGTCCACTTTTTCTTCCTTCCTTCCATTAATTTGATAAATCTTTGTGAGCCTGAGTTATGCGAAGGATAGTTCTTTTCACAAGCTTTTTCTTCTGCAGTCAGATTTAGTGCCTGCTGAAGTGATTTGTATAGCAAGAGTGGGCCATTTTGCAGCACTAGAATAATTCCATTGTACTATATTTCTGGAGAGTGGTAAAGCTCATGGATATTTCTGTTAAATAGATTTGAGCAGGAATCCTAGGCTATATAAATAGCTTAGTACATAATTCTAAATGAAAATAACATACTAATGTGCAAGTGATTTACACCAATGTCAGCTGTCTATGAGAGAAGTTAGTGTTTGTTCTCATGCTTTCATTTTCCTAGATGGGAGATTAACTGCACATATATTTGCTGATGTCTGTCTTGAAGTGGTTTCATATTAGAATCAGGATGTCAGATTTCTGTTCCCACATTTTCCCTCTGACAAGGATTAGACGGATGTAACAATGTTTTTGAAACGTATTTCACATTTATTGAATTTGTTATTCAAAACATTGCTAATGTTCACACACTGGTATAATATTTCAGGCATATTTTTCTCTAAGGTATAAGCAACACTCCTTTTAGTTCACTCATATAGCTTTATAATGAATGACACATTTTGAGTAGGCTACCTTTCGGTGCTAAAGACAGCTAAGTTCCATTCTAAGGGCCAAATTTTGGTCTCAGTTATGCTGCTATGAATCCCGAATGAGTGGATTTACTCTGTATTCAAATAGGCATAACTGAGAGCAAAATTTGGCCCTTACTAAAGACTGGTTTTGGTGCCATACTTCAAGAGATATAGGGCAATTTATTTTTCAAAAGCCCCAAAGTGATTTAGGAGCCTAAGTCAAAAAGGTGCTT